ATATTCATTCAACTTTTAAAAGATATAATAAAAAAAATTCTACAAATTACTTTTTGTACAATAATTTCTTAAAAAACTTTTTTTTAAAATTATATTTTTACTTTTTTATTGAAATTTTTCAAAATTTAATTTTCAGAAAATTTAATTAGTAAATAAATTTCTTTAACTAAAATTTTATAAATTCTCAATCATTTAAAATTATAAAAGAAAAACTAATATTTAATTGAATAGTGAATTTCGAAGAGGGCACAACTCCGATTTTCTTGAAATTTTACAGGAGAAACAAAAAACTGTTTATTTGAAAAAACTTTAATTAAAAGAGTCCAGTTTTTTTCGTAGTAAATAGATGATGATATTTTTTATGAGAAAATGATTAAAGAATTGTCCTCAACAGTGAGTTGGAAAAAATTGATATTACAGTTGTCAGAGTTGAACACTTTTCGAAGTTCATGAAAAAATTTAATCGTTTTAATCATAAGCTTTCCTTTAATCATATCATAAGGAAAGTCGTTAATTGGGTAGCTCTATAAATATGCAGCTGATTCAATCTCTTTAACAGGCTTTGTTCGATTATTAAAATATAAAACGTTTTTGAAATTTAACTGTTTTTTAAAAAAATTACAACTAAAATTATTTCAAAATTTAATTATTTTTTGTTGAAATTTTTAAACAAAATTATTTTAAAATTTTATGATTTTTTAATGAAATAAGAAATTAATAATTTTTCAATAATTTAATACAACTTTTAAAAAATTTCTGAGGAAAATTTGAAATCGAGTACACTAACCACTATACCACGTTCGCATAGGATTTCAAATTCATAATAGAATTTATGAAGTTCCACGAAAAGAAATTACAAAAAACTAACACATCAGTGTTAATTATAATATTAAAAAAAGAACTAATAATACTAGTAAATTCGTAAAAACAAATTGACTGCAGAACTAAATATTTTATCTATAATAAGTAAATACCTTGAACAAAAAGTCGGACCGATTTCGGACTAATCCGGAATTTGTCCGCAAGAGTACGGTTTATTGTGGAGTTTTTTCACCCTGAATTAAGTTTGAACTGAATACAGTTTTTTATAAATATTGAATCCGTAATTAGTCCGATTTAGTCCGAAGTTAGTCAGATCATATGCAACTAGTAAAGGCAGAAGTAATCCGATTGGTTTAACCAGTGAATCCGCAGTTAATCCGAAACAGTCTGCTTATGGTCAGGTTATTGTCACTCAGAATTAGCCCGGATAAATCCAAACTCAATACGGTTTTGAATAACCAGTGAATCCGGAATTAGTCCGATCTAGTCCGAAGTTAGTCTGATAATACGCAATTTGCAAATGTGAAATTAGTCCGATTTAAATCAGGAATTAATCTGGTTATGTAAATTATGATTACACTACAGATTGTCCAAAACAAAAGGTCCAAGACCGAAAGTCCAAACCGGAAGGTCCAATGGACGGAAAGCCCAAAGGTCAAATTGTCCAAAAGTTGTAAAGTCAAAAGGACTTAATGTCCAAAAAATTGGATTGTCCAAAGTTAAAAAAAATTTTTTTTTGTGCGTGTTTGTGAGATGCAGAATGTCCTCCAGAAACAATCCTGACGGCGAACCCAACACTGACCGTAGTTGCTCTTGCATCACAATCATTCCTTCTTCTGCACTGCCAATATATTTTCGTGTCCTTGCCAGAGGAATGTTTTGTGTACAAAAAACCCTCCACGTGTAAATAACGCGATTTTCCTACTAAAACGATTTCCCCTTCAATGTCAGACATTTTAACTAAATTTGCAACTTAAAACCGCACGAAAATTTTGATGTGATCCGAACGCGAAAAATGTTTTGACACGACTGTTACTGTAACCAGGGAAACTTCATATCAAACAAAAGACAATATGTATACGAAATATACTTGTTTAAATTTTTCATTCTTTTTTATTTCGGATTTTTGATTTTTTTGCTTTTTGGATTTTAAAGTGGTGGACTTTTTGTCGTTTGGAGTTTTTGGAAATTTTGGACTTTCTAAGTTTTGGACATTTTTATCTTCGGACATTCTAACTATTGGAAATTTTTACCATTGGACATTATAACTATTGGACATTCTAAATTTGGACCTTTTATTTTGGACATTCTGTCTGACAACCGTAAATTATGTTCAGGTTTATGCCATACGAAAATATATTTATAGTTTAAATTTATCTGAATTTAATACGAATTGTTTTTAATATACAAATTCAATATTAAAAATAAAAAATAAATAATAAAAAAATAAGTATTAAATAATAAATTTTAATATTAAAATCTTTGCATACATATTTTGGATTGTTCCATACCAGTTTCGGATTAAATCTTTCAACTTGATTACTTTCGGATTATTGCCGACTGATTTCGTATTCTTTACATATTGATTTCGCATTATTCCGTATTTATTTTAGATGAATTTTTTAACGGACATAATTTCGGATTGTTGCGTAATAATTACAGGCTTAATTCATTTACATTCATGATTACTCCAGACTGATTTAGGATTCATAATTTCGCTTGGATTAACGTTAGATTAATGGGGATCATTTTCGGATATGATTATATATTTTTTGCGCAATAGAAATTAATAATAATTTGAAAATATTATTTGGAAATTAAATTTAAAGTTTTTTAAAATAATTAATTAATTAGTTAATTAATTAATAATATTGGAAGGTAAATAAATTAAAATGTTTGTGAAAATTTTGTTTTTATGAAATAAGGTTAGGTAAAATGTTTTTAATTATTTTTAACCACAAATCACAAATCACTTGGGAAACTTTTCGGAAATCTTTCGGAAATTGATTGTTTTTAATGGAAATAATTTCGGAAATCTTCAGGAAATTTAATTTTTTTTTAACGGAAATCACTTGGGAAACTTTCTGGAAATCTTCAGGAAATTGATTTTTTTAACGGAAATCACTTCAGAAACTTTCCGGAAATTGATTTTTTTAACGGAAATCACTTCGAAAACTTTCCGGAAAGCTTCCAAAAATTGATTTTCTTGAAACGGAAATCGGTTTGGAAATCTTCCGGAAATTTATTTTTTTTAACGGAAATCATTTGGGAAACTTTCTCGAAAGCTTCAGGAAATTAATTTTTTTAACAGAAATCATTAGGGAAACTTTCCGGAAATTTATTTTTTTTGACGTTAAATTTCTCCTGGAAGCCGATTTTTCTACAGGAATTTTTCCGGAAATCACTTCGGAAACTTTCCAGAATTTATTCGGAAACTGATTTTTTTGGCATTAATTTTTCTATGGAAGTCGCCTTTTCTTCCGGAAATTGATCTTTTGGAGTTAATTTTTTCTCTGGAGAATGCTTCTGGAAGTCGATTTTTCTTTAGGAAATTTTTTGGAAATTACTTCAGAAACTCTACGAAAATTAATTATTTTTTACGTTCAATTTTTCATGGAAAAAATCACTTGCTTTGACAACCTCTTCCCATACTTCGGAAAATTAATAAAATTCAATAGAAAAGAGAAATGTATTTTGAGAATAATTAATGAAAATATTAACAAATAAAAAAATTATTTCCAAAAATACAAACAAAATTTTTTTTTGAATTTTAAAAAAATTGTATAAAAAATTTTTTTAGATATTTTTTAAAATCCTTGTATCAGATTTTAGTTATTAATGACTGCAATAAACCTGCAAAATTTCAGGACAATCCATCAAAATTTGTTTGAGATAATTTGTACACAATTTTTGTGACATACACACACACACACACACACACACACACACACACACATACACACACACACACATACATCTGGACATTTGCTCAGAATTGAATATACATATGTTATAGATGAAAATGAGTCCATATAACCTTCTTTTGAAAAATTGAAAATCGTCACGAATGCAAAGCTTCCTCATGAGGAAGCAAAATTATTTATATGCATTAACCTGTAATTTTTTTCTTGGAATAAGCAGGACGTAAAAGTTGGACAAATATATTCGAAAAATTTGAAATATTTTTTTTTGTACTAAAAACTATTCCAGAAAATATATAAAACATGATATGGTGTAGATTTATCAAGAAAATTTAATAAAAATAAATATGTTTGGATTTTAAAAATTATTTTTTCTTTTAATAAGATTATTTAAAATTATATCAACAACCAAATGGATTATATGAACTGATTAAAACTATCGCTGAATGTAACTAAATACCATTGTTATTATAGTTCTCTTTTTTACTAAATTTTTTTTTCTGTTTTTTATTTTCTTAATTTAATAAAAATCCTCTAAAATCTAAAGATTTTATATATTTTATATAAGCTTGTTTCAAGATTGCTGAAAATTGGTGCAATTTTGGTATACAAAATTTAAAACAAAATCTAATCTTTTTAAGATAAAATGTTTTTAATAAATATGTGTTCATGTTTAGAATAATGTTAGAAGCTTTTCAATGTTAAAATATTTCCATTTTGAATAGCAGAAAGAAAGACAGTCAAAAAATTGATGTACACTCGTGCGCATTAATGCCTTCCCTCAGGGAAGGCACTAATCTTGAGTGTTTTGCCTCCGCTCTATGTTATTTCTATGGCGTAGCGATTATTTGAGCGGAATGTGGAACAGAAATCTGACATCTCGTAAAAGAAGGTTTGTTGTTATTTTGAAACATGTGCTTCGAATATTAGTTAGTTAATTAATTATAAATATATATTAAAAGATAAAATTCTCTGTCATTGTAATGATATAAAATTGATAATTAGTAAAAATAATAATTATTAATGATCAATTAATTATAATATTTATTTGAACGATTGTTAAAAAAATGTAAAAGTTAAAAAAACAAAGTTTTATTTATTTCGTTTCACACTTTCATAGTTTATTTAATTTAATTTATTTATCTAGCTTTAAATATAAATTTAAAAAAGACAAACTTATTTTTCTTTTATATAAAAGAAAACTAATAATTTTTTTTATTTAAAAGAGTTGAGTAATGGAAATGACAGGAGTGATTAGAAGATATTTGGCGATCACGGTCGAATGGCAGTTAATACGAGAGTAAATATTAAACTATTTTTATCATCACAACTAAAAATTCAATCTCAGAATTTATAGGATTATAATTTATGCGATAGAGATTGCATTTTCATTAACACTGTTGTATTTTTGTGGGACGTTTTCATTGACAGTAATGCTGCAAATATTTTCAAGAAAACATTAGCATCCGATATACCATCTTTATGTTAAAGGTAATTTAATATAAATAAATCAATATAAGAATAATAATAAACAAGAATATTAACTAATAATAAATTAAAAGGAAATAAAACAAAAACAAAAAATTGTTCTTTTGTTGTAAATAAAAAATTAATTTTCAGATAAACAATGAGTGCTGAAGAATAAATACAAGTGGCAAAAGGGTAATTAATTGGATGTTTATGGCATGGAAAAGCAGAATACAACAATGACAAGACATTATTGACAATTGCTTCTGTTCATGATATTAGTGTAATAGTGTTACCACTTTATCATTATTTTTGTGAGCATCGACAATGGTTAAAAAGTGCAGAACAAGGAAGAAGATATTCAACAAATTCACATTTCTACTTTATTATTTTACAACACGTTACATGTAACATCATTTGCCAAGATGGTCTAATATGGTAAACAATTAATATTAATTATTAATTTTTAATATTAATATTAATAATTTTTTTACATTCAGTTAGCAAGCTATATTTATATAGCTGTCGTACCCGTCTTCGACGGATTTTAGTTTCTACCAATACATTTAACAATGTTTCTACCAATCTGGAAAATCAGAAAATAGACGAGAATTTAATTTGACCGGAAAATTAATAATTAGTTACCATTAGCTATTTTGGTAGTACTTATAATATTACTATTTGAATAGTCTCCATCCTTTAGCAAAAAATCAAAAATTATCAAAAATTCGAGAAACCGAATTTCTTAAAATTTAACATTTTTTTCTTCTCTTTTATATCATTAAGATTCATTATTATTGAACTCTTCAAAAATACTTTACTTATTCAATAGCCTCCACCCTTTTGGTAAAAAATCTAAAATTATGGAAAATTAGCAAAAATTCAAAAAACCGAATTTCTTGAAATTCAAAATTTTTCCTCTTTTTTATGGCATTTAGCTTCATTATTTTTGGGCTCTTCAAAAATACTTTACCTAATTTGTTATCTCCACCCTTTGGTAAAAAATTTAAAATTATGGAAAAATGGCAAAAACGCAAAAAACTAAATTTCTTAAACTTCAACATTTTTCCTTCTTTTTTATGGCATTTAACTTCATAATTTTTGTGCTCTTCAAAAATACTTTACTTATTCAATAGTCTCCACTCTCCGGTAAAAAAACTAAAATTATGGAAAATTAGCAAAAATTCAAAAAACCGAATTTCCTAAAATTCAACATTTTTTCTTCTTTTTTATGGCATTTAGCTTCATTATTTTTGTGCTCTTCAATAATACTTTACTTATTCAATGGAAGTATTTAGGCTAAATAATTATTTTATTAAATTTGACTATAATTAGTACAGTTACTCGAGAGTAAAAAAAATATTAATTAGAACGGGAGATATTCAATTTTTTCAAATAATTAAAAAAATTGAAAATTTCTAAATTTTTTTTTCATGGATTGCTTCTAAATTTTCTATAGTTGAGTATTACATGTTATTTATTAACATTTTAGCATAATTTTGCAAAAAAAACTTCTTTATAACTAAAATGGAAATATAAAAATATTTTTCAAAAATCGGAAAATTTCTAAATTTTACATTTTTTAATGGATAGCTTTTAAACTTTAAGGGAAGTGTTCCGGTTGTGGGCACCCTTTTGTTTTTGCCTCATAACATTTGTCCATGTGCATATTATACAAATATATGTGTACGAATTTAAAGCTAGAGGTCTAAGGTGACTGTCAGTGAAGGAATTAAATTGATTCCTTTAAATAAAAAAGTTTTATTAGAAATTTAGTGAAATGGGAATTTTTTGACAAAAAAAATTTTGTACCCGGTTGTGGGCACCCTTGAAAAATCCGCTAAAAATGGAAAAATATTAAAGGAAACCAACACAAATAAAGAAGAAATGAAAGTTTCTTTATTTTAAGAGAATTTGCCGGGATAAAGAACAAAAATGATGACACGTTTTCACACTATGCTCATCGCTAACAAAAGCATAATGCTTGCATGTGAAGTAGCTAGTACGCATACCATAACGCACTTCTAATGCACTGAACGACTATATTCATCGAATTTAATGGAGTTTGCGGCTGTCACTTTCCTTGGCAGAAAGTTTAGATAGATGAGACAGTAGTCCTCATCATTGTCAGATGGTAGATCCTCCTTAACATAAAGGTGCCCACAACCGGGAATGACAGTCATTTTTTAAAAAGACCAACACATTTTGTAATGCAGGATTTTGGTTAAACACGAAGGTAAATCACAAAATATAATGACAACACTGCAAAAAAAAAATTAAACCCTTCTTTTCTGAACGAATCTACACCCATATGTTGCTCTTCGAAAACAATACAAAATTACTTTTTTATTTATTTAATGCAAATTTTCTTTATTATGCTCACATCTATTACACAAATGTATATATTTGTTTCGTTATCAATACGAAAAGTCCGTATTGTCAACGAACACGACTTGCAATACTTAGATCAGTAAAGTCTGCTTGCCGTCGAAGTTTACGTAGGGGTGCCCACAACCGGAGGGTGCCCACAACCGGCGCACTTCCTCTATATAATTGAATATTAAATGTTATTTAGTCACATTTTAGCATAATTTTTCAAAAATACTGTCTAATAACGAAGATGTAAGTATAAAAATGTTTTGAATATCAAAAAATTTAAAAAATTATAATTGATACCAATTGCTATGAAGCTTAATTCAGTAGTATTTGTGGGCTCTCTGATTTAACTTTTAGAAATATTTTGAGCAATGTAAAGACAAAAGTTAAACACGGTGTTTATTTTGGTTTAAAACAATTTCCGGCTTTGTCCAAATTTTTCCTGGTTTATTCGACGGGTTTTTTTTTAATAATACATTTAACAGGGTGTCTACCAACCAGGAAAGACGGAAAATATCAGGGAATTTAATGTAACCAAGAAAAACTGGATCTACTTGCTATACAATTAGTTCGAATTAGATTGTACTATAACTCAAAAAACTGGAGGAAATTTTAGATTGATTTTAATACATTATATTAATTGAAGTACTACAAATTGAGAAATATTGTTTTCTGCATTTGAATTAGTTAAAAATAACTAATTTGATAATAAAAAGTCGGTCACTGTTTCAAATGGTATATTATTTTCCTAATGAAATAGACAATGGTAACTAATTATTATTTTTTCCCTGTCAAATCAAATTCCCGGCTGTTTTCCGGTTTTCTAGGTTGTTAGATACACTGTTAAATGCATTATTAGAAACTACAACCCGTCGAAGACGGGTACGACAGCTAGTCTTTCATATTATTTGATTTCTGTTAGAATTTATTTTTCAAAAAAGAGTTAATCTTTAAAATAGTTATTAAAAAAAAAAAAAAAAAATTCTAAACGAAAAATTTTAATTATATGTTCCTGGATTCTGGATCCTAGTTTAGAAAAAGAAGGCTGTCAATGTTATAGTTTGTAAATTGACCTGCATATTTCGAAACTAGAACAAAATAAACATTTTTTTAAGTAGTAAAATAAAAAGTGATAGTTAACTTACAAGTGAGGATAGTAAAGTTATATAATAGATATTTTATTAAAAAATAATAATTGTAGCTATAACTTCCACTGTGGAAAATACTTACAAGTTAGAGAATTAATCACAATTAAATCTTAAAAGTTCTTTTCATTCAAAATTGTAGTTATTTTCAGTGACCTCTTGTTTGTGAAATTTGTAATTTTCTTATTAATGATAATAATTGAATTTCTAAAAAGAATTTTATTATAGAGTAGAATTGGGGTGAAAAAGACATTTAGGTTTTATATTAAAACTAATAAACTATTTTACCAGTTGGAGTTACACGTAACTTTTTATTCTAGTATAGAAGTGTCGATAATATTAAGTTTTTATTGGAATTTTTATTTTTGAGTTGCTCATTTTGATAACTGTAAATTAAAAGCTGGTAAATTTAACATGAAATACAATTTCAATAACAAAAGAAATATATAATAGCACAAAATTCAAGAATAAAGTATTTTGCGAAAATCACAAAATATCTTTTTATCCCCATTAGGTAATGCAAAAAATGCATTAACAATTCTTTCTTACAATTCTTATAACTTATTCCATTTACAAAATCCAAAAAAGTTTCCTACAATAATTTTGAATCTCAATAAATAAATTTTAAGTATACAAATTGAAAATTAAAAAACAAGAAATTTGCATTTTGATTTTATTGTGTAAAAAGTAAAAATGTGACTTCTTCACTCCATCCTACTCTATTTGCAAACAATTAAATTCCTGTCGAGAATTACATTATTTATGAAAATAATTCCATTTTTCCGAAGGATTTTATTAAATTTTTTAAACAAAATTGAATTGTTTCAAAGAATTTTATAAATATTTTACAAAATAATAAATCACAGCAATTTGTTAGTTGATAAGTACGTTTTTTAATTTTTGAATCTAAAATAATTTAAAAACTAATAAAAATTTCTAAATTCGAATTTTCTTAGAAATAGTTGACCAGCAATTTGTCTAAATAATATTAAATACAGAAAAAAATATTCATAAATAAAATTTGCTTAAAACGATAAACTTTGTTTCTTAGTAAAATATATTTAAAAAAAGAATATTCTTAAAAGTTTTATAAAAATGTTTAAATCTAACTTTAAGAAAAATAATTTATTTAAGAATGTAATTACTTTTAGATTGGTGCAAGATTTAAAGGATTTGTCAACCAAATGCAGTCAACTATATCAAGAAATATGGAAAAAATCTCAATGGCTCATAACTTTATTCAAATAGTAAAATAGTCACGACGAGACGCAGTTAAAGCAATGACATTGTTAATGAAATTAACTAAGGAAAAGTAAATAATTGGAATGATACCTATTTCCGAGGACTTTATTGATGTGTCAGTTGCCTATTTACTATTAAGAAAAAGTAAAGTTTTTACTTTAACCTGATAACTGTTTACAAAAATTTGTAATTATTTATTCAAATTTATTATTTACTAAAACTATAGCAAATTTTAGGCCGAAAAAGAAATATTCAGTTTATTATTACACAAATTACAAAATTTTTTTATTTTTCAATATCGCGATTCAAAATTTTCAAAAATTCACATAAAAAGTAACTAACTATTTTAATTGTTATTAATTATTTTCAAAACCTTTTATAAAATTCTTCTCAAGAATTCAATTATGTTTGGATTTTGGATAAAAATAAAAAATCAATTTGAATAAAATTTATCAATAGGATTAATTTTCCTTTTTAACGTTAATAATTTTTTTTTCAATTTCAATTTTTGTAAAAACTGTAGACAGATTCCATTGCGGTGAATCACACAGTCGTCTACTTTTACGAAATTTTAAACAATTTAAAAACTATTTAAATAAAACTTAAAAAAAACTATTTTCTTCACAATTTTTTATTATAATTATTAAAAAATTTTATTTTCTAAAATTT